GACTTACAGTGTCAATGTGCAGCTCTTTACTCAAAACTGAAAAATCTGCTTCGTTACAAGATCGGTACTATTGAAAACCGCATACGTTAGTCTTGTTCGAAGATTATGAAATACGTTTTTGTAGGTCACTAGAATGAGACGGACTGAAAACTGAAAAGGTCACTCGAATGAGACTTGAGTCATAAGTCAAAGTCGAAAGACCTCTCTACGTCTTTTGTTTGAGCATATTTGCTATGCGCGTTCTCCCTCCCGTGTTTGTATTGCAGATTACCTCCACGCCAACGTTCCTGATAGTTTCAAACCGAAAGATGTTGAGAGAGAGAGAGAGAGAGAGAGAGAGAGGGAGAGGGAGAGGGAGAGGGAGGGGGGGGGAGGAGCGTTGTCGTAGCCCAAGATAAAGGTGCTAATGAGATATTCCGCGTTCTCACTAGACTATAAATGACTCGGTATGTGTTACAAACATCACAGGGCTCCCCGCGACTCACCCGTGTACAGCCAGCCCCGCGCCTGCTCATTCATTAGGCTGCTGATTATATTGATTATATATTGCTTTTTGTAATGAGAGACACGACCTGTTGCGGTCACCTTAATGCCTGTGGTCAGTGGGAACGTGGAGGAGGTGTTTGTGGTGGGGGAAAAAAAAGGAAGGATTGGGGAAGGGGAAGGAAGGATCCGGAAGGGGGGGGGTTGTTGTATATTTGCTTTGGTTGTACCTGCCATGAGACCACACCCCCCTTTTTCCCCCTTATTTTTGGTGCTAATCAGTCGTACATAGAGATACAGAAAAGCATGCACTGCTACAAATTATTGTACTCGTAATATAATACCGGATATCTGAAATAAAAAAGGACCCATTTAAAGTGCAGTAAGTCGGTCATCTGTCGATATAAATGATATAAATAAATTCGACCACGGGAACGTCACGTTATTAATATAAAGAACACGGATTCACTTGAACCAGGCCTCAGCAGAATAATACCTTTCCCTCACCTAATTTACTCCGAAAATGTCTCGGCACGGTGAGAATATAATATATAAAATCTAATATGACGGTGGACTTTGTTTTACCAACATCGTCCTGAAACTGATAGGGCCGATCACGCCCATGTTGCTGAATACTTTTTTAAAATTAAGATTAAGAAGTAGAGTTTTGCTTTTTTAGCCAGATTTGCTTGAAATTGTTAACACTTCATATTTGTGGACAAAAACGAATTGTTTTTTTTGTTTTTTTCATATTTGCAAACTTGACATCCTCTTGGTTAAACTTTATTTACTTGAAAATTTATGGAAATTGATGCAAATATGACCGAGGTATCGCCTTTTGAATGTGTCCTATTTTAAAGACACCCTGTACACACAAACAGTTTTATACACGTACACTTAAACTCACACATACGCAGACACGGAGACACACGAACGAACGCACGCACTCACACACACAAACACCTGCCCAGTCTCTCTGTCTCTGTGTCTGGGTTTGTCTGCCTACCTGCCCGTCTGTCTGTCTTCCCTCCACCTCCTATCTGTCCTTTT